TTTAATAAATAAAATTAAATAATAAATGATTGAAAATATTGAAAATTAAAATAATTTAATATGAATAAAATTAAAATAATAATGATTATCCTGTAATAACGTTGATATGTTATACCAAGTATTTTCTTAAACACTTGAATTAAAATCATATCAACAATTTCAAATAATGTTAATTTGGTTGTATCAATCTCATTTCATTCTAAAATATTATTAAAAATATTAATATAATCGTTAGAATTTGTTTGGAAAGCATGTCGAGCTACACGAGTCTCCACATCTGCTGATAAAATTATTTTTATTTCAGCATCAGGTAGACAGAGTGTTGTGATATCATGACCAACTACAATAAATCCTTTGTTCTTTACTATTTTTCTAATCGTTTCATTTATAATATCATGTAATTCATCATTTGTTGATATCTAAGCTGCTCTAATTCCTGATTCTCGATATTGTTCTTCATCAAGATGTTTGATAGAATTAATTAGTTCCAATACCTGTTCTTCATCAAAGATTTGTTTGATTTGGTCAATCGAGTAATCATTATAGTAATAACCAACATGTCTATAAAATAACCCAGAATTAATAAACTGATAACCATATTGATTCGCAATTGCTTCTCCAACTGATGTTTTTCCAACTGCTGCATATCTGTCAATTGCAATGTTAATAAGTTTCTTGGTGTTAAAATTTTGAAGTATCGTATGAAGTAATTCCATCTTTTGGGTTATGTAAAAAAAAATCTACTTGGTTTCAAACTAAGTAGATGAATTTATTAGATTTTAAAATTAACAAGATAAGCAATTGTAAACAAATTATCGATTTTTATTTCAGAATTGATATTAGTAAAATCATAATAAAAATTTGATGGAAATTGGTTAAATAAACATTTGTAAGTATCATGGAATTTTTGAGCTGCAACGCATAGAAGACTCTTTAATTCGAAATGTTGTTTTTCTAATTTCTTTAAATTTTTATAGTATTTAATATAAATGTTAACTAATTTAACTACATTAGTCATCTTCATCTTCTTCTAAAAGAATTTCTAATGGTGGTTTAAAAGGATTAGTAAGAGCAACAGGTTGTAAAAAATTCTTTGTCTTAACAGAAATCCAAAATAATATCTCCAACTGATACTTGTTTGTGATAAATATTGAATAATATAGGAGTAATAAATCGAACAAAGAAGTGTATTTATCACAAAATTCTTATGCTTTTGAATAATCAGAATTATTTAAACGCAAGTTTTTTTTTTGACTTGTTTTGTCCAGAAGAAAATCGTAATAATAATTTTGTATATTGAAATAATCTTTGGTGAATTGATGTTTAAATTGAAGTACTCGAATATCCATTTACACAATTTAATTTATAAATAAGAATTATGTAATTAAAATTCTAACTGGTACTAATGTACTAGTTAGAAGTATTTATTAAATAATAAAATAAATTTTTACAAGATATCAATCTAAATATTGATAATAAGTTTGAGAACAATGAGAAGGAATATGATCATATGAATCATATTTAAAACAATACATTCAATTGATAGGTTTACTAAGATCAAAAAGTTGCATGTCATTTTCATTTATAAACAAGACAACTTCATTTTTAACTACCTTGCCTTTACAATGATGAATAACTTTGTTCAAATTATTTGTAAAATACCTACATTTTGCAAATTGACATTGACGTCCACATTTATCATATTGTGTTGGATATGTAAGTCCACAAATGAACTTACAATCACATTGTTCAAATTCCTGTTTACAAGCTACACAACAGGTATGAGAAAAGCCTATTCTTTTACAATTCCAACATACTCCTTTATTGAGAGGATATTTGTAATCAGTAAATGTTTTCACAGAATCAAGTTCATTTAACTTTTTAATAAAAATATCATAAAAAGATGGAATTTCTCCTAAACAATTATTTGATGTATCTGATAAATGTTGTCTTGTGTTTGTAACAACTATTGTAGAATGATCATAGAACAGAATGAAGAACATTGTTGAGTGTTTTCAATTAAATGTTAATTTGATTTAATTAAATTAACAAAATATTTTAAAAATAATTCGAAAAGTTTAATAAAAATAGAATTAATTGATTGGTACATGTTTGGATAATATATGATTAATCAAAGTTACATAAAAAAAAATCTACTCAGTCTTGAACTGAGTAGATGGTGATTGAGGAATATATATAGGAGATTTGGAAGTATACTTGGGAGATTGGAGTTTATATTCATCAAATATTTGTAATCAAGAATCAATTGAAGTTACAATCTCAGAAATGATTTTTTCTCTGATATTTCATTTTTGAAATTATTTTTTCCTTGTTTATTTTTTCCAATATTTTTTTTCTTTGATTGTTTTTTGTTTTTGAAATTGTTTTTATCTTGTTTCTTTTTACCTTTTCTATTAATATATTTTTTGAAATCATCTAATAGTTTTACCTCATTCTTGTAAATTTGTGTACCTGTATAATCGAAACTTTTAATCCAAAACCAAATTTCAAAATCTGGTTTATACCTTGATAATAACTTTTTCATTCACATCAATGATTCTTTAGAATTAACACGAACCAACTTTTCTGAATAATCTAATTTTTTATCAACACTCTGAAGAAGCTTAAAATAATTACTTAACATTCTGAAAGGACAATAATTATTTTTATAATCACGAGGATCATATTGCCAAAGATGTTCATAAAATTCATGATTCTTTTTACATTTGCAAATAAAATAATCTTTTAATTTTACTTCTATCACATGTTCAAGAAGATCGAATTTTTCTTTTGGTTTACATTGTTTGTAGATACGAACATAAAATTGATCAAAATCAATGTCGTGCCAAGATACACTATTTTGAATCATAAATGATTTGCTTATAATCTTGTATTTAATTAAAGAGAAATGTTCAAAATATGTGATTACATCTCTATTCATTTTAAAGTAATTATTTTTTAATTATTTTTGAATATCTGAAGCTAAACTTAGTGATATTTGGGCGAATCATTATGATTCTGGAGTCTAAGTTGAGTGAATTTTTCAGTCTTTTATAGATGTTTGGAAGAGGAAAAAAAAAACTAGGTTTTTAATTTTATCTTGTAGACATTAATTGATTAATATGAATGCTAAATTCATATATTTCTAATTTAGAACCTAGTTCATTCATAAGTAATTTGTACTAAACAGAAATCTGAATCTGTAATTTTATAGATTTGGATAGGTCATCTATCAATAATTAATTTTCTTTTAAGTACAAAAAATGATCATGAGTATTTGAACATCAAACCTTAAATTGTTATCTATAATTTCAATTGGTTCCTTATGTTTTTTTTTTAGATAATTATCAATTAGAAATTTCTTTATATCAAAATTCGAACATTGTGCCCAAATCAGTAAATCTGATTTAAAAATTTGATTATATCAAATAATATAGCCAAATCCGTAATTTCTGATATGGAAATTATTAAATTATTTAATTCTAATCAGTAAATATACTGATTAGTAAAAATAAATCAGTATTTTATAACGATTAAGAAATAAAAATTAATTATATATTCCAAATTCGATATTATAAATTAATTATAAAAAAGGATCATTAAAAAAAATAAATCATTAACTCAAAATGAGAAAAACTTATGAAATTCGAAATTATTTTCACCCTAATATCAAAAATACCAAACTTGAATGTGATATTTGTAAAGCTTCTTATAATATTAAAGTATCAGTTTCTAACTTGAAAAAACATTTCACAAAATATCATAATACAGAATATCAAAAAATTTTAGAAAAACAAAAAGAGAGATTTGAAAGAATTAAAGAAATTAATTATATTCAATGAAAGAAAAACTCAAATTTTGTTACTACTCAAAATAACATTCAAGAAATTTTACCATATAATGGTAATAAATATCATGCAACTGTTCAAGATGACACTGATTCTGAACCTGAAATCGAAGAAATTATCGAAACTGGTCAAGCTTTAATGCCAATTAAAAGAAAACTTAGAGAAATCAAGAATTCAACTAAAAAACAAAAAGTGAAAAAAATAATATAATTTATAACATTGAATTAACTAAAGATAGTTGTGTTAATATTAATATTAGTAAAGATGATGGTATTAATATTTCTGGTGCATATAAAATTTTTTTTAACTAAATAAATAAAATATTGGTATCCTTCGCTATAATATTTAATTAATTACCTAATTGTATTCAATTGTAAGTGTATAATAGTGAATCTCCTTTGGAAAAATCTAAACAGTTTTTGGAAAAATCTAAGTCGATTAGAGTTTCGTCCAATTATTGCATAATATCATGAATCTTCTTTGGAAAAATCTAAACAGTTTTTGAAAAAATCTAAGTCAATTGGAGTTTCGTCCAATTATTACATAATATCATGAATCTTCTTTGGAAAAATCTGAACAGTTTTTGGAAAAATCTGAGTTGATTGGAGTTTTGTCCAATCATTGTATAATATCGCAAATCTCCTTTGGAAAAATCTGAACAGTTTTTAGAAAAATCTGAGTTGATTGGAGTTTTGTCCAATCATTGCATAATATCACAAATCTCCTTTGGAAAAATCTGAGTCGATTGGAGTTTCATCCAATCATTGTATAATATTGCGAATCTTCTTTGAAAAAATCTGAACAGTTTTTAAAAAATCTGAGTCGATTGGAGTTTTGTCCAATCATTGCATAATATCACGAATCTTCTTTGGAAAAATCTAAACAGTTTTTGGAAAAATTTGAGTCGATTGAAGTTTCGTCCAACCATTGCATAATATCGTGAATCTCCTTTGAAAAAATCTGAGTTGATTGAAGTTTCATCCAATCATTGCATAATATCGTGAATCTTCTTTGGAAAAATCTGAGTCGATTGGAGTTTCATCGAATCATTGCATAATATCGTGAATCTTCTTTGGAAAAATCTGAACAGTTTTTGAAAAAATCTGAGTCGATTGGAGTTTCATCCAATCATTTGCGAATCTCTTTTGAAAAAATCTAAACAGTTTTTGGAAAAATCTGAGTCAATTGGTTGATTTTTAATTGAAAGAAGTAGTCCATTAGTTAGTCCATTGGATAGGTTTTGTGGAACTAGTCTATTAGTTAGTCTATTGGTTAGGTTTTGTGGAACTAGTCCATTAGTTAGTCCATTGGTTAGGTTTATAGAACCAGTCTATTAGTTAGTTCATTAGTTAGGTTTTGTAAAACCTTCTAGTTATATAAATAGATATTAATTTAAATTCTGTTTAAGTAAATTATTAATTAAAA